AAATAGTGTAGGTAATCATTAAGGCCTCTATGGCACCTCACTGCCGATCCCACCTTGTCTGCATCGACTTTAGATGCAGCCTGCTGGCAACCATCAGGGCTCCATACAGGAACCAGTATTGCAATCCCATAGCATCCTTATGGCGCCCTTATAGTAATCTTACAGCAAAATCATAGTAGCACAGACCTTCCAATATGCCATATAATTAGGGAATATTCCTCGTTAAATCATATCTATGAGGGATCCTACCATAATTTAGGGCATATTCCTTAATTGGGGGATTTTGGAAGGTCTGGGACAGCATAGTAACCCTTTTTTGGTGGTTCTCTCTCGAAGGTGTGGCTCCGCAGGAGACATGAGCTGGGCAAACCAGGTTGACAGATTCCCCAAGGATAGTAAATCCCTATTTCGCTACTTTCGGGCCAAAGTATCTACTGGTTGGGTACATGTTGCATGAACCCTTGAAAATGGCCCAAACCCTAAACCCTAAACCCTAAACCCTAACAAATACCAGGACCATCCTTCTAGCCCTCAAATCGCGGCTTAACCCTAATTAACCCTAAACCCTAAACCCTATTACCCTAAGGGTCCAAGTACCTAACAATCATATACTCTTCTGAATACTAACCTACAGAACCATTATCCGTAACCCAAGTACATGATTATTAGATCCTTTGGACCCGTAGGGTTAAGGTCTAAGAGAGGGTAGGTGGAGGGACTTGGGTCATGCCTATCAGCCCGCTAAACCCTAAACCCTGAACACAAACCCTACACCCTTAAACCTTAAACCCTAAACCCTAAACATCGTAAACCCTAAACCCTCAACACTAAATCGTAAACCCAAAGCCCTGAACCCCAAACTTAAACACCCTTTAACAGGATCGAATCCATGCGGCTTCGGACGTGGGGCATAAAGTTGCTTATGGTACCCAGATTAGTTTAGGGGTTTAGGGTTTAGGGTTTAGGGTTTAGTCCAGAAAGGTAGCTACCATAAGGGCTTAGGGCTTGGGGTATAAGGGTCCATCTACCCATAGTAGACACTTGGGCCCTATAAAGTACCTGTATAGGGAACAGCCTTAAGCCAAAAGTATATAATATGTGGTCGCATGTACCCTTAGGGTAATATAAGGGCCGTGAGAAGTGGAGCAGGCTTCCTTGAAGAATTCCTTCAGCATTTCTACAAAGCCCACTGTTGCGGTGTAGGGGTTTAGGGTTTAGAGTTTAGGCTTCAGGGTTTAAGGGTTAGGGTTTAGGGTGGTAGCATACGAGTAGGGAGTATCACTCCTCTCGCCAGGCTCCTAGCATTCGTTGTGCGTGCCAAGAAACGGCCGAATCTTCCAGCCGGAACCAGCGGAACAATATGTGGTCCAGCCTGCATCTTGCCCTAAACCCTAAACCCTAAACCCTAAACCCTAAACCCTAAACCCTAAACCCTAAACCCCAAGCCCTTTGCTACAAGGCATGGTCCGAAGATCCCACTAGCCCCAAGTTTTGTTAGGGCTTAGGGTTTAGGGCTTCGGGTTTTAAACGGCTTCAAGTCATAAGAAGAAGCCTAGGATACGACAGAGACTCTTCCCGACGGTCCAGGTGCCCATATAGTAATGTAGTATACACTTTGGCCCGAAAGTACCTATTTAGGGAACACGTTCAGGCCAAAGTATATACCCGTACAGGGACCTTCTTGAGTCTCTCAACAACAACCGCACTTGAGATTGTGAAATTCGAACTTGGCAACATGGAAAGCTCGGAGTACCAAGCATTGGGCTTTAAGGCTTAGTGTGTAGGGTTTGGGCTTTCGAAGCGCGGTGGCTTGTTACAGTGGCCGGTACCGGGATTTTCGGGGTGTACGGCTTTCGGTTTGCTCCCCCACCCCTCCACTCGCTTCCCTGACCCTCGAACCAACAAGCTTGATCCGTAGGCGCTTGAAGAATTTGACTACAGATACGTGCAGGCACATAACCCTAAACCCTAAACCCTAAACCCTAATGTGTGCTATGTAATTTCAGCAAGGCCAAAGAAAGATAAATCAGAGCGATATAGAGAGCTGGAGCAGAGGAGGAGAGGCATAACATGGAACATTTATCCACCCTGAAAAGACAAATGGGGGTTTCCGAGATTAGGGGGTACCTTATTTTGGGGTCCTTATAATAGGGATCCTACTATTTGGGGTACTATATTAGGGTCCCCTATTGTTGGGAACCCCCAAAATACAAACACGAACACACACGCTCATGTAAGCAAGTACGTGGGCCATTAATACCTATGGCATATGGAGAAGATAACAGCGATATTCAAATGGATGCATCAACGGATCAACCTATGCAGAATGTGCACGAAGCGACACAAGGAGCAATGACTCCATCTGTCCGAGGCCCTGCAGCATCTGACAGCCCTAAACCCTGGACCTTAAACCACAACCCTATTGCGCCTAAACCCCAGAGCTCGAAGCAAGGAGAACTGCAAAAACCCAGTGCCCATAGCCACAAAGCCCTGAACCTGACCTAAACGCTACCCGCCCTAAACCCTAAACCCTGAACCCTGAACTTGGCCCCATATCCCAATAGAGCCCTATAGTCCATGAGCCCCAGTCCCAACAGCGTTCTGAACGGTCCATCCTAGGAGTGAGGTAAGCGACATGATTACATGTACCGAGACCTTCCAACATCCCTTAATTAAGGAGTATACCCTAATTCATAGGAGGGATCCTACAACGGATTTTGGAAGGTTTGGGTGCTTTTTTCTCTCCCAATTGAGGTACTTCTGGCCCGAGCAATAGCTACCCGACCCCTAGAAACTAATCTTATACAGACTTGTCTGGCCCTTATTCCCAACAAAAACTCTTTAAACGCCTCCCCTGTCTCCCTCCCGGGCAGACCAAGCCAAATCTTCACAAATCCTGTAATTCAGGAATATACCATACCTTGAATCATCTGAGGGGTCCTAATATAATTGTTTAGGGTTTAGGGTTTAGGGTTCAGGGTTTGGCTTAGGGTTTAGGGTTTAGAGTTTAAGGTATAATGTTCAATTAAGAGATTTTGGCAGATCTGGGAACACACCCTAAAAGCCCTCCCGGGCAGACCAAAATGCAGGGCCACCACCCCTCGAACCGCCAGCGTATGGGGCGCCTGCGGCGCTTCGAGCGCAAGCTTGGGCTTCCGATAGAACCCTGAGAGTTTCGTCCAGGGGCCCTCTTAGTAAGGGTTTATGGTTCGGGGCTCAGGGTGTAGTATGGTTTGGGATTTCATGATTAGCGCCCGGCGACACGGATCGGTGCGATTTTGTCCGAGCTTTGCGGTTTGGCCGATGGCGGAAGATTGCGGCAATGATATGGGCATACGGTTGGTGTTCTTGTTTTGGGACGGATCTCATGAAATGCGTGGTGTAGTTTCGGGCTTTACGAAACTTCTGAACCTTGGTAAAGCCTTAACCCTGACTGCAAAAGGCTTTAACTAATTAAAATGGTGCTCGATTATTTGACCATCCGTGTGAGGCCTTTGTGGGCGATTCTGAGTTCAATCCAGTAAGGATTAACCCCCCCTTCTTTGCTGTCCATCCACATCGAATTCACAAACTCCACCTGCAAGCCGGTCCTGCGAATGAACCGGCGCTAGGGTGGCAGAAACTCTGCCAATGTCCGATGTCCAGGTTTCTGGCACATCTCTCTTCCCCACCTCTAGCTCGATGCGCCCTTTGTTGTAGGGCGAAACCCGGGCCGGAATGGCTAAAGCCTGGAGCATTGTCAGCACCGCCTCCTGCACCACCGAGCGAGGAATCCTGAGTACAAAGTGCAATTTTCTGGGGTGTCCAAAGTGCACAGCCTGCACAAAGTCAGACATATCCTAACATATCACAAACGGTTACCTAATGTTATGTATGTAGTTATATTTATTATGCGTGTATGCATAAGTGCGTATATGTATGTGTAAAGACACATCCAGCCATCCGAGAACCCATGCATACATAAGGTACCTATATATACAAATACATATACATATACACTTACATATACATACATACATGCATGCATGCATATACATACATACATGCATGCATACATACATACATGTAAATAACCATGTACATGTACAGACATGCACATATACATGTACACACATGCATACATATGTGCATACATAGCCACATACAAACAAACAAACGAAACAAAGAATAACAAAGCAAACAAACAAACACACATACACACATGCATACATGCATAGCTACATGCATACATACCTTAGCATACATGCATACATGCATACATACATAAATACATACATACATGCATACATGCATGCATGCATGCATGCATGCATGCATACATACATACATACATGCATACACACATGCATACCTTAGCATACATGCATACATGTATACATACATAAATACATACATACATACATACATACATACATACATACATACATGCATACGTGCATGCATGCATTCTGCATGCATGCATGCATACACATACACACATACACACATACATACATACATACATACATACATACATACATACATACATACATGCATACATACATACATACATACATACATACGCACATACACACATACATACATACATACATACATACATACATACATACATACGCACATACATACATACATACATACATACATACATACATACATACATATATGTATACGACACTAGCATTTTGTCTAGATTATATATACATACACATACTGATAGAACACCAGGTATGAGCTTAAACTATTGAGTGATGTGTCCGGGCCCATAAGCTGCACCAGGTATGGATTCAACATCATCCCGTCTTCCCCTTTTGAAACATACGATGATACACCCTCCGAAAGCTGGAAACCCATTCTTAATGATGTACCCGCTCCATGACTGGAAACTAATGCTGAAAGCATAAAGTGCTGCATCAGGCTACGGAATTATGACTCTACCACGGACAGCTGCGATAATCCAATGAGAAGATCATCTGTATATGGATGCTTTTTTGCCCACTTTTCTACCGGAAATGAAGCTGCATCTTTGGGGTTATATAGCGAGTAGAATCCCCCAACAGGTTAAAGACTACTTGCGCTACGACTATGTTCCACTTGTCCCGAACATTGCAGAAACCTGCGCCGGGTCTCTCTTCCTCTGGGAGAGAACTGCCCCAGCCAGTGATGATGAAGAGCCGGCTCCTCGAGGAGGATGGCAGGTGGGGAGCCAACACCTCCGACAGCCAGTACCTTACAGCCTGATAGGCCGTGTGAATTGACAGGTCGTGCAGATCCAAAAAAGGCCATCCTTTGCGGAAAAGTAGTGGGTATAAGCCTGCTGTTTCTGCGTGTTTAAAGAGTTCGTAGGCGATGTCCGGGTTATCGACTTGGCCAAAGAGGGCGTGATAGCACACCTTGTCCCCATGAACCTCTGCTTCTACCATGGTCCAGAAAACCTGAAGAGATTGCTGCCAGCAGCCTGCCTTCCAGAAGCAATGGTACAAAGCCTTATAGGCAGACACATCCGCAGAAATCTGAGAACGGTGCATGTCTGACAAATACTGCAAACACCGTTGCCACTGACCGGAATCTTCGCAAGATCTCATGCCCGCCATGTAGCTGACAATGTTCGGCGAAACGGTGGCAGATTCCATAGCATTGAACAAGACCAAGGCAATTTCCCAGTGTCCTGCTTGCGCAGCAGAGAACAAGCTACTGTTGTAGGATCGGACGTCTGGGAGGATCTCGCGCGCAGACATCTCACTGATAATCTTTAGAGAACTTTTCCAGTCCCCAAACTGTTCCAGAACAGTCAAATGCGTGTTGAACGTGATAATGTCTGGAGTGACCAAATCTCGTTGCATTTCCTCAAGAAAGTGAAATGCTAGATGCCACTCAGCCCTGCAGGCAGCAATCAATGCGTTCCATGCTTGCAGATTCATTTCAACGCATTGCGCCGCCATGTTTCTTGCAACAGCCAATGCCAGCTGCCACTGCGCGCCCTTCTCGGTGGAGCTCAATGCTGCGATATACGTTACGATTTCAGGAGTAAGTGAAGCCCGAGGCATGTCATGAAAGAGTTGCAAGGCAAGCTCCCATTGCTCGCTGTTCTTACAAGCAGTCATCGTAGTGCCGTAGCTGATGCTGTCCCTCGTCGTACTGAAATCCTGGATAGACCCAAACAAACTCAATGCCAGCTCCCACTCCTCACTACCCTTGAAAGCCGTCATTGCAGAGTTGCATGCGATGCTATCGACCGCAATCCGTGCAGATGGCATCTCATGGAATAGGTGCAACGCCAACTGCCACTGCAGGCCCTTCTCACAAGCACTGCCAACCGCAGCAAAGCTGATAGCCTGGGTTCTCTGAAAGGAACGAAGTTTGATTCGAAAGCAGGGTTGGCCCCTTAAAGCCTCTGAACAAATCTTCGTAAATAAGATTCTCTTAAGTACAAGAAGGAAAAACATAACATGTTAAAGGCCTACCTAGAAGGACCTCAATATATAGAGAGCATTTTCTCCCTATCCGTAACTCAGGCGGCAAGTCCTTAACAAGAGCCCAGTAGCATCTGCTTTCAATTTGGCGCTCGCCAGATTGTTGAAGAAGACCATCGCGAGCTGCCACTCACTGCCCTTCCTAAGCAAGGCGAAGGCATTTTGGTATAACAGTGCACTCGTTGGGGGCCCACTGGAGGGTTCACGGTTAGTCACTAGTACGGCGTAGGATAGTATAGCTGTATCCGGGCCTGGCCTAGTACTCCTGATGAGAACTACTTGCAGCCACCAGTGAACCGTGATGTTGTTGCTGTTGCTGCTGCTGTCGTAGTCGCTGTTGCTGTTGCTGTTGCTGTTGCTGTTGCTGTCGTTGTCGTAGTTGCTGTTGCTGTTGCTGTTGTTGATAATGTGTTGTTGTTGTTGTTGTTGTTGTTGTTGGTGGTGGTGGTGGTGGTGGTGGTGGTGGTGCAGTTGTTGCTGTTGTTGTCGGTGCTGATGTTGTTGTTGTTGGTGGTGGCGGTGGTGGTGGTGGTGCTGGTGCTGGTGATGGTGGTGGTGATGGTGGTGGTGGTGGTGGTGGTGGTGGTGGTGGTGGTGGAAATAACAGGAGAGTGGGAAGCAGAACAACCTTGGTAACCATGTTCTAGACAATCACGATATCTTGCTGGCCACACTGA